TCTTCACCAATGGATAATTGCTGTTGTTGTTGTTGTTGTTGATACTCCGGTGATGAATCAAGTGAACGAAGTAAATCACACATGGAATCATTATAAATTTCAAGATATGCAATACTTTGAAGAAGAAGAAAAAAAAAGAATAATGCCTTTTGATTTATAATTTTTCTAATTACCGAACAGTATAAGAAAACTCTTGTCGAGCATTGATTTGTTGATAAAGATGTTGTAAAGTACGTGGAATAATACCACGATTTGGATAACTTTCACTAAAACCAGTCATTGTATGAGTTTTTCCTGCTCCTGTTTGACCATAACATAAAATTGTTCCTATATAATATATATAAACAATAAATAAATTCATTTTTATCTTAAACAAAACATACCATTATAGCCATCTATTGTTCGATCGACGACATCCTTAGCTACAAAATTAAATATGTCTTCTTGACTAATATTATGAAATACACCATCTAAATGGAATGCCCAATCGTTGATTTTATTATCAACAATATTTGTCGATGGAACACGATGAATACTAACTGTCTATTTAAATTTTAATATTAAACAAATAGAAATTTTTTTTTTTGTTATTTATTAAACTAACTCGATTATCTCGTCCAAGAGAAATAGCATCCGATGCAAAATTATTGGTAGGACGACTTCGAACATAAACTTTTACTTTATTGGATGGACGTTGTGGCATATTAAGAATTATCAACAAAACTATTAAACAAATAAAAAAAATATATTGATATATGAATTGATGTAAAAAAATCGTACAAGTATTTGTCTTTTAAATATTCGAAAATATCAATTGAATTATATCAACCAGAGGAGTTTATCAATGATAAATAAATACAACTGAAGAGCATTTTTATCTACAATAGTTTACTTTATTATATAAGATCTTTATGGATAGTAATAAATTCAAACATATATATACTTATCAACGAAGATTTCATTTACTTTTATATCTGTCAGAATATATATATATATTCAACAACACTTTCAGAAAGTTATTGCTGTTTTTTTACAACTCATATTAATAGGTAAATTGGTCACATTATTTGATGTGAAACTATAGAAACACCTTGATAATTACATATGCAACAAAGGAAAGATGTCGCTTGAAAATTTTATTTGATCAATTTATTTAAATATTGATTACTTACTGAAGAAATTTTAAAAATAATCGAAAATAAGTTTATTTTATAGTAGGATTGTAATATTGATATTATACAAATATACATGATGTATGTCTTGTGTGCAATAATAGTTTAAGTATTTACAAGATACTAAAAACTTTCATACTTCTTGTAATGAAAACATTGCATAGGATTGAAATAGCACAACCTTGAAATTGTGGCGCTTGCAACTTTTCCGTGCAGCATGTAATGATATTAATTGTTCTTAACGGAAACATTTATATATATGGAAAGAAAATTATAGAAGAATCTTAACCAGTCAATAATATATAGAAAAAATTATAATTCAAAAATAAACCTATGAAAAACATCTATTATCTCACGTACATAAAATAGTATAGTACTACACTAAATTAATAATGTTACAATTCTTCTTCTATTATGTTGCTCGATTATATGATTTTATTTTTCCACAATTATAACAACACAAAGTTTTTTTCAAAAACGATTTGTCTATCACAGTCAATAACTTTTTATTCTGGATTCAATTGAGTATTGGTTTTCATTCGATTTTGAATTAGAAGTGGACAAGTATCTTGTCCATTAGCTATTTGTGTGATTTTCCACATCAAATCATATTGAATTTCATCCGAAACAACAGAATCTTGTTTATATGCAGGATGAGACATTACAAATTGTCGAATCCATGATGCATCAGTCAATAATATACCTACAAAAATACAACATTTCAATATAAATATCAAAATAAAATAAATTTACAAACCAGCAGCTCGTTTTGATATCAATGATAGATAATGTCCTATTGTAACTCTTGTATCACTATTGATATTTTCACTTTCATTGAGATATTTCTCAACTAATGGTATTAAACCAGCAAACTTATCATTACCATTCATTATTTCATTGATTGTCATCAAACTACTTTCACCATCATCACCACTAGCACGAAAATAGAATTTTTCTTGTCGAACAGAATCTCGATGATGTGCTCGAACTATATTTTCATTAGCTTGAGATATTGGAATTGTTAAATCAAGACCATAAGTAAGAATCACTCGAGTTAAAAGAGCCATAAAAACAGAAAGTGAAGCATTTTCAAAATCTGTTATTTGTATCTAAATTTTACATAATAAATAAAGTTCATATGAGAATAGAATAAAAAACTACAAACATCCATGGGTCGAAATTCTACTCTCCATCCCATTTTATCATCATCAAGTGGTGGTGGTTTGAATCGAAGAGAGTTCCAAACAGTTGAGTTCAAATTCTAAATTAAAATCATTTGCAATTATCAAACAATATATGTTAACTAACATCAAAATGATAAGATGATGTATCATCTTCCGGATGAAGATTTTCTTTCATAACAACTAATGGATCTCGAACAAACAAATGACCAAAATGTTTAGCCAAAGTTGAAGACATTCCTAATTTATAAAAAAAAATAGAATATGTTGATATCAAAAGAAAATATGTAACCATGTTTGGTGAGTGTTGATACTACATTTTCATCCACATCAAGTGAAATATCATTGAGATGATTATGTTCATCACATAAATAGAATGGTGCTGGAGAACAACGAGAACTAAGCGTTGATCTTTGACGTTCATCAGATGTTCGATCATCAGCTGTTTGAAAGAGAACTTCATATCGAGAGTCGATATCTGTCAAATAACCTCGCCAGATTGGACAGGCATTACTTAATGCTAACTAAAATAAAATATAAAAGAATGACACAATAAAGAATCTAGACAAACCATAATTCCTGTTAATGGTAATAATTGATCATAAACTTGAAGACTTTCTGTAAGAGATTGAGCTTGAAATGTGACTTGAAGACAACAGCAACCCCAACCAGCTATGAAACAGTCTAAATGAATATGATCATCACGAAAACCTTTTGTTTGTTTAAATGAAAGATCTTGAAATGGTGATGGAGTCGAAGTATCTCTAAATACTGTTAATTAAGAGAAAGCTATTTAGTTATATTTGTTTTCATTTTTGTACTCACTTGGAATGTGAATTAATGGTGATGCTTGACTTCGTGCAAGTGTATTTTCAACGACTGACCTTTAACAAATAAGTTAATAATAGAATTTTTAAGAGAGAGAGACTCACTTCATCCGGGGATGATTTGGAGAAATAAGTTCATCTGGATAATATGTAGATTTTTCAGCAACCTCTTGTGAATCATCTTGTGTTGATGAATGAATAAACTGACCATTACCGTATCTACACAAATGAATTCATATACAATAGGGGAATTATATAGAAAATCGATTTATTACCGAGGAAATGCAGACATGTTTATAACATATTCACAATCTGATTGTTCAGATAATATTTCTTGTGCTTGTTTTCTTCGTAAAGTCATATTGGCTTCTACTGTATTGAGATAAGAAGGAAGAAATCCATAAGGTTCACATGGTACGCCTTCAATCATGAAATCACATGCTTCTGGATGCCAAGCAATACTAGGAGTACTAGAAAACAGCTAATAGTAAAAATATTGTATCAAGACTAATAACTTACTCATCATGAGTTTCTTTATTAGTTTCTACAAGACGTGGTAGTATTTCGTGTGCTTTCAATAATAATTGAACACGTTTCTTTGAATGATCAAAATGAAGTAAAACAAATTCTAGCTAAGAATACAAGAAATGAAGGAACAATAGTAGAAAAATGTTGTTGTTTATACCTCATCACCCCAAAGGAAAGAATCGCCATGATGATCTTTAAATTTCTCAAAAATTTTTATCAATTGAGATAATGCATAAGATCGATAAACTTGACAGACAGGAGCAATTTCATTCCAACTTAACGGAGTACCTTCTGTTAATACACCCATATTTACCCTAGCAATAAACGATTAAATGACGTTGTATATAGAGGTTCTCTCTTTTTTTTTCTATTCTTTTTCGTCTGTCATTTCGTTTATTTTACTCGTTCGCCTACATTACGATAAGCAACATGCGCATGATTTACATATATAGAAGTGTATACAGTATATATTTTTGCTGTTCTTAACCAATCAAGTTCGCTCCATGTTTAACTGTTATCTATCCATTGTTATATAAGATGTAAATATGTGTCTAATCTCTAATGTAAATTGAAATAGAGTTTATTGAAAAGAGAAATTAAGTATTACTATATCAAAAATGTTTTTGAGATCTATCTCACTTCCCGTTGTAATTAATAAAATATAATTGCTCATTACTGTAAATTTAAATTAGAAATTTTGATTTTACATTGAATTCTATAGGATCGATATGAAAACTATCAGCTTTCTAAAATAATATATGGCATCTCATCTTTTTTTTCTTCTTTCTTTGTCATTTTTACTTAACATGCATATTTACTCTGTATTGAATTTGTTGGATATGTGAGAGACATATAATATTTGCATATATTTTCTTTGATAATCCAAGCTATCGGAAAATATACTTTGAAAATTGAAGCAAAATGATATGTCATAAGACTTTAAATTCAATTTAGAGATATCAACTACAAGCAGATAAACTTTATTTAAATGTTCGAACATTTCATTTGAGATTGTATAATTAATGCCATTTACCAAACATGTATATGAATGCAAACGGCACTATAGAAAAGACGTATTTTTTTCATGAAAGCAATCAATAACACGAAAATAATTTGTGCTGTCAGTACTGATTTTATCAAGTTCTCAACAAATGCATAAAACCCTCATGTAAATATTATCCATATGTATTCTCAACATTATGATAATTGCATGATGCTATGCAATATCATCAATCGATATTCTTTTTATTTTTACAAAAGCCAATGTTCTACTGAATGATCAATCAAATCTGTAAGTTTAAAGAAGATAGAAATCATAATTCGATCAACAAGTAAAAAAAGACAGGTAATACCGTATAACTTATGATACGATTAATACAATAGAAATTGCGTAATACATGATATCAATATGATAAAAAAAGGTGATTTTGTTCAGCTTTATGCATTTTGATTTATGACTTCTTTTTATTAGTTGTGAAAAGCATATATTATTACTATCGATAGAAAAAAACAATCATTGTAATAATCTAGTCTATTTTTTGTCAGCAACATTCTTTGTTATTTTCACCCGAATGATTTTTGTACGCTTTTTAATATTCAATATAAATGTTGTTTTTTTCTTTCTCTCTTGCTATTATTGCAAGCATTGATTGGTTTTGGTGGTTTTTATTTTCATTTTACAAAATCAATACAAATAACCCACACATTTTCCATTATTTTTCTCTTCTTCTTGTTCTTATTCATCGAAGTAATAAACATCAACGATCGGCGTATTTACGAAAAAGACATCTGTTCTGTTTTTGGCCTCATCAATCCGTCAGTTAGCCGAAAAAGAGCGAGAAACCTTTCTATATCTCTTTCCGATTGCTTTTTTTTTCTTTCTTCCTTTCTGCTTATGTATTCATTTGTGTGCTTTTTCTATAAATACAGAACAGAACATATAATGTAGAGAAGAAGAAGAAGAAGAAGAAGAAAAAAAGAGAACGAAGGACCACTCCGTTTTTTTTTCTTTTTTTTTCTCGTCGTCTCCTTTAGCCATGACGCGTGCGTACACTTTAGAAGTATAAAAAAATCCTTGACAACAAACTCTCATTGACTATACTCTTGTAACTTTTTTTTCAAGGTTACATCGTGCGGTTTTTCTTTTGTACATTTCTAGATTTTACTACAGCAATAAAAAATGAAATATTTCTATATATTTCTTGTGCTAGTTTCATGGGTTTCCTTTATAAATACGCAAAAATTTACAGGTCAGTGAACTATCATATCTATGACACATTTAGCTCATTTGTTTTTCTCCTTTTAGAGGAAAGTCCATACATGCTGGTTCGTTTGATGGATCTTAAAGTTCATGAAGTTTGTTAATAATACATATCTATTGTATTTTCTTGTAAGAAAAAGGATTTTCTTTTGATTCTAGTGGAAACCTGCCATGTTAGATAAATTTGAAAAAGTACTCGATGCCGAATTGAAACATAGTGATGAAAAGAAAGGTACTGCATGTAAAACAATGTAAGTTATATGAAATGAAAATTTAGGATAATTTATTTTGTTTTTCATACTATTAGTGATTTTGAACAAGAAGCTGGTTATCCAAAACAAGATTCACGTTTTCTTGATTTAAGTATTCGAGGTTTATGTACTGATGATTATGGAAAAGTACATGATATCGATAAAGGATTAATGACTGGTATGAAGATTTTTGAAAGAAATTAGATTTTATAGTTATTTATTTAATTATAGTTGCTATTGAAAGACATATGGATGAAGTCAATGAAGCAGCAGCTGCAACTGTTTATCGTGTTGGAAATGTTCAACTTTTCAAACGTAATAGAAATAAATTAAATTTCATTATTATACCAATTTCCGTTGGAATCGTAATTTTTCTTATTATATTAACATTTGTCTTACGTAAAATAAGGTTTATTAATATTGTTTTGGGTAAAATAATATGTTATAATGTTTTTTTTGTTCTTTGTTATATAGAGATGCACAAAAACGTCGTCATATTGTCACGGAATTAAAGAAGAAAAGAGAAACGGATAGTAAAAAAGCTCAAACAATAGCCAATGTAGACCCACATGCAAATGAAAAACAACGCTTATTACAATTAGATCCAACTGTTGTCGGTAGTGCATCGGATACATTAGGTAGTCCAAAAGATTTTACTAATGAAAAACCATCAAGTCAATCTCGTAATAATCCATTCGGTGGTGATAATTCTAATCGTGGTGGTTCACCAACAAAAGACAATCGATCAACATTTAATAATCAACGATCAAGTCGTGAACGTATGCAAGGACCTTATGAACAGTCAGACATGATGCCAATGGACGAACGACAACCACGCGTAGTTGTAAAAACAATTCGTGGTGATGGAAATCATCCATCATATTTTCAAGAACATGATGAACCATCAACATCATTTGTACCCATTCCAGTACAAGTCGAACGAAGTGGTCCTCATCAAAGAAATGTTGCACCGCCTTATCATTCCGATCCTTATTATCGACATGTGAATTCTTAAACATATACAAATCTATGGACATTAATATTTTATTTTATATGTTTCGAAACAATTTTTCAGGCTTGCTTTTTTTTGTATGTATATTTACTAACACACTTTAGTCTTCTTAGTAGAGTTTTATAAATGCTCATAAAATTCAAACAAAAAAAAAATTTGACAACTAATCATTTTTTTTATTTCTCTTATATTACAATTAAATACATACACATTTCTTTTTTCTACTCTCTTACAATCCAACTTTAACACCTATAGAATCGTAATAGATATTACTACAAACGATATTTTAATCTCATATTAATTATTAATAGTCATAGATGCTGCTCTATAGTTTATAGTAGAAGAAAAAAACATAAGGTGTATGTTTGTTTTTTTTCTTTCATTTACTAATGTTGATTTTTATCAATGATAAAATTATTAATATAGGTACGTATACAAGTAAATAACAAATATATTAAAAACAAAAATTTATATATAACAGGAAACAATTATAAATCAAATTGTTTAGAAGTGGAGTACTTTTAGACTCTTCATTTATATTTAATTGTTTTCAATCCATTATTTATTTTATCAAAATATAAAAATCTTACAAATTTAATTAATTTCGAAAATGAAATCTTTCCATTGCATTCCACATAGCTATTGTATCTTGTGTTGCATTTGGAGAATAATCAAGAGCATCAACTTGCCACATACCAATTCCTAATAAATGTCGAGTATTAGCAAGATCATATTTAATTACGAGTGTTTCTGGATCATCCATCCAGATTTGATGTGTATATCCATCTCCTTGGTTTTTATAATTGAAAAATACTCCACCTGTTCGATTATCAATTAAACGACCAGTTGTAGAATTTACACGTAATAATTCTCGACAATATTTATAATCATGTTGAACTCCAGCTGCATCTGAACATGGAGCACCACGATAAGGAATATGTTCAATTGTCTATAAAAGAATAATAATAAGGAAATTTATACAAAATTAACTTACACAAGTCATATTAGCATCAAGTGTTAAACATTTATAATCATAACAATACCAAGGTACTAAAAAAGAAATTATTTTATTGAAAATAATAAATAAAATTGGTCAATATTTTACCACCAAGAACAAGTTTCGATGGTGCAATGTGAAATATATCCGTATAATTAGTTAAGCCACCTTCAACTCGTGCAATTGGTGAATTTGCTGATGCAATACAATCATTTAAATCATAGATCTGTGATCGTAAATCATATGCCATAACAAAAAGAAAATCACTTGCATCTGCTAAACCAGTATAATCATAACAGCGTCCGTCATCGCACGGTGCAGTTCCACCAACATCAACACTAATCTATATTAAATTTGATTTAATATTTTTAAGCTTAAATAAACTTACCATCGATCCAGGTACTTCAATACGTATTAAATTCGAAAGTTCTTGAACAAGTTGTGTATATTGAAGTGCTGTAATAGTTCCATTGGCAATTTCATCTTCCATATCAAGATTAACACCATCAGTAAACGATTTTTTAACTTTATCAACTTGGGAATTAACCCATAGAGTTCGTGCTGTTGCATTACCTAATTGTTTTACATCATAATTAGCAATCCATACAAGACGAACATTTCGTGAATGTGCTAAACAAAGTAACTGAGGATCAAAATCATCTGTACATATAACAATAGTTGTTAATTGTGAATAATCATAATAACGCCAATTAGAATCTGCTGTCATAAAAGCAACTTTTTCATGACGAGATCCAATTTGTAATGGTTGACATAGAGATATATCTGGACATGGACATTCGCTTGCTACAAAACTTATAGCAGCAACAAAAACAAGTATAGTTCTAAAGTTTAGCATCTGTAATGAAAATAGAAAAACCGAAATATACATCTTTATACCTTGATAAGATAATGATATTTATTGTATGAATCATATTTGTTTTTTCATTTAAACTTATCATATTATGCCGATGTATTTAGAAAACTGTAAAACACGTCATATAGACAATCTCCAGAGAATTAAATTGAGTTGTTATTTAGAACGTTTTTTTTTATTGAAGATGAATTCAATTCTGTCGATATTTATTCGCGTCCTTTTCCTTCATCTGCAAAAACAATCAAAAGAGTATTAAAAAAATGTGCTGAATATCGTCATGCTCGAGAAAGAAAAAAAAGCATAAGAATAATAAAATATCATTATAATAGGCATATGACAGAAACGAAACATATCTATCATAAATGAATAAAAGAATATAAAAACAAACGTCTTGATGCATAACTAACGATACAAGAAGAGAAATGAATTGTACTTATGTTCTTGCTATTCGTAGTAATTAACTCAAGTCATCTATGCTAGAGTTATCATTGAATGCCTTCACAAAGAAATGGAACCGGTTTGAATTTTTGTTGATCAATGTCTGTTCTCTGATTATTCTTCCTTTATATGTTATATAAAAATCGATTTTTCTGTTCGTAAGTTTTCCCAGTACACCAGTTATTCTTTTTAATGATCATCAAAAGTAGAATAAACATACATGCGCAAAGTTATATTCTGCAATGAAACAAAGAAAAAGAAAAACGATAAATGTCGTAACACCACTCATAAACACGAAAACAAATCAATCAATGTTCGATCTACAAGATCAAACAAACAGACAACAATAATAATATACATAGGACAAAAAAAAATAATAATCATCATCCACTTTTCGCCGGGGTTATATATCTTGCTGTTGAAGATTTTTCAATGGGTAATGAAGTTGTATCCATAATTGAGTCATCATATTGTTCACCTTCATCACTTTGTTTTTCTTCTAAGAAAAAAAATAGAAAATATAAAAATATTTCTTATTTGTTATTTTTTATTTACGATTTTCATCTTCATCATAATAAGTTGCTTTAATACCATCGACAATATTTAAATGATCACGTTGTAAATGATCTTTCATAGATGCAACATGTAAAATACATTTTCTACAATGTTTAAATTTCGATTGTATTGTTCTTCCTTGATCAACTTTATTAAAATGAAGTAATAAATGTTTATAAGCTAATGTTCCATTAATCATTGTTGATGAATTTGTCATCAATGGTAATTCAATTGCAATAAAACAATATGGACAAAAGAAATATCGTGTACCCTTATGTACTTCATCAATATGATAAATCATATCAGCATGCATTGATGTTCGAAATGAACATACTTCACAAAAATATGGCATTTCTAAACCACAATGACAGAGATTTAAATGTGCAATTAATTCTAATAATGATGTATGTCGTTGTTCACATATACGACATGGATATTCACTCATTTCAAGCATATGTTTATCATCAATATGCATAGCAAGAAAATATGGATTAGAAAATTCTGATTGACAATGTGAACATTTTGTATTTATTTGTTCAAATGGTGAATTTGATTGAAGTTTACGTTCGTTATTATTATTAGTATTATCTTGTTGATCAAAATGTTGACATAAATGAGTGATTAATTGAATATTATTATCGAAGATTGAATCTTCACAAACAGGACACTGAAGAGAAAATAAAAATGAATTTTAGATTATTGAAACGAGATTTAGAATTACTTGACTTCGAAAATCTCCATAGTCGGAATAAGGGAGAGTACGACCGGGTTTTTGACCATAATATTTCGATAGAGCGCGTTTATATGTATGCTCTTAAAAAAAAGAATAGAAATAAAATTATTTTATAGATTTAAACAAAAAAGAATTCTTACCAAGTTCGACTTCAAGACCTTCTTCTATAAAAGGAAGAAAAAAAAATGTTGTTTTCTGAATAAGATAAAATAATATATTTACCTCTTGTTCTAACTGTGCCTGGTTTAAGACGTGGTAATGGTTGATCACGTGGATATTGTGTTGAAGCATTTGGTGCAAAAGCTGGTTGAAGAAAAGGAATAGTTGCTTTTCGTGTTGGTTCTGGCTTAACAAATTGTGTCTGATAAAATTGTCCACGTCCAGCTGTTGCTGCTGCTGGTCGTTGTTGATTATTGATTGTATTATGTTGTTGAAATGGAATTGGTTGTCGAATATTTCGATAAGAATTTCCACTATTAGTACGTTGATAAGCTAAAGAATAATTATTAGTAGTTGTATTCGATCGTTTTGACCATGGTAAACGATCATCTTGTTGACGATTAATCCAATCACGATCCCGTACAGTATCATCTTGATCAATTTCATCAACATTCCATTCATCTAAATCATCGAATTCATCAGGATCATCATTAACATATGTCGAACGACGATTTGTTGCTGTTGTTTGTAGTGCCTGTGTTGATTGTGAAGTTGGTGAATAACGTGGATGTATACGAGGACGGCCAACAGGATTACGCGGTTTAGGAGTTACACCATTCGTTGTATCAGTTCGGTCAAGAGCCTAGACAAAAAAAAACATCAGATTCAATCATGTTTTTGTGACATGTATGCGTAGATCAAAGTTCGTAAGTTCTGTATAATTTACGTCTAATCGGATAAGCTTTTATTCTTTCAACCTTTCGTAAAGTACTTATAAAGCTACATATTTTAATATATTCATAAGTACTACTTATTCTATAGTCGTTTGATTAATTACAATACTGATATTGATAATAAAAAGATTATATTAATTTCATTTCTGTCATACGGGAAAGAATAGTGTGCTTTTGCTTCAATCTACAGAATGTATTTACTTTAACAGGACAATGTGCCAATTGAACATCTGATAAATGATCATCAGAACAATTCATATTTAAATCTATATCAATAATTTGTTTTGTATCATTCATCATTTGTTTCATATTATCATCATACATTTCATCTATTGGTGATGATAAAATCGTTGAATTTTGTTGTTGTTGATCTTGTTGTCGTTGATAATTATTATTATTATTATTTCGATAAGATAATTGTGATGTCCGTTGTTTCATATTATTATTATTACTATTATTATTATTGTTATTAGATATTGATGTTTGTTTTGCACGATTATTTGTCATATCAGATCGAAAACGTTTTGTCTGTGATGAATTTTGTTTATCCATAAGTGAACGAGAATGTGTTGTAAATAATGATGGTACAGCATCTGGACGTAATATTGCTGGTCCTTCAAAATCTTTTACAGTAAAATGTTCTCGACAAACTTTAAACGTTGATGTTGATGATGAAATTGCAATATGTTCAAAACCACAAGCATCAAGCCATTTACGTGCAACTGTTTGATCACGTGGAATTTTATATAATTGTACACGATGACGACGAGCAACATAATTATGTATACAACCATCTATATGACAACGATTTGATGCTTTATTTTCAAACTAAAAACGAAAAAAAAATAATAATTAAAGAGAAAAAACCTAAGAAAATCTCTTACAGTATCATGATGATTGAAATTTGTTTTATTAACAATAAATGATGATGATGATTGAGTTTTATCTATTGATTCTTGTTGTGATGAATTCATTGATGTTGTTGGTGCTAAACGTGTTTTAACATGACCACTTTCTAATTTTAATATTGGTTCTAATGTTCTTCCATCAATTTCAGGATTACTTGTATGAAATGTAATATTTGTTTTTTTATTTGTTTTATTTGTTTCCTGTGATTTATTTTGATATGCAATCATTTTATAGAAAACTTCTAAATCAAATAATGTTGGTAATGATTTTGGTCGAAGAACTTTTGTCGTATCTTCAACATGATCAAAACATGATTCTTCAAAATGTTGTTCACATACACGATGATTCGTTGATGGACGTAAATCTGTACGCATTGTATTTTTATACCATGATGCAGCGATATTAGTAATATGAACAGGTACTGCAAAGTATTGCATAGAAGGATTTGTTTGTAATCCATTTGAACAGCCTTGTACAATACATAATGGTTCATGATTATTTAAATATGACCTAAAGAAAGATTTTTTGTTTCTTATTGGTAAATAAAATTGTCGACCATATTTGACTTACATCTCACCTCGTTGTTGTTATTTGAATATAACAACGAATAGTAAATTAGAAGTAATGAGTGGACACTGGCGTGCTCAGTCGGGAAAATATGTAATAATAGAAGAAATTGTTTAGCGACACCAGTAGAGAGGCAAATAAACTGTGAATAAATATGGCAAAGAGGAAAATGATAGATATACACGAACAAGACAGAATGAGAAAATGAAAGAGAGAAGAAAAAAAACGACTTAGGACGACTTTCTCTTTTTCTTTTTTATTTTTCTTCTCTTTTTGCGTTCTGTTCAGTGTAAGAGAACAAGAAGACGGACTAACTGGCGAATGTCAGGTGAAGAGAAGTGAACTTGTTTTAATGGAGATGTCAGTCTTTTTCTATTATTGATAAAGCTAATGAATAAATTTTCGTAAAAAAATAATAAAATGTAAATAATATTCATAGTACTAAATAAGTATATATTCTATCACAAAATATAAAATACATTTCCCGTAAACTAAATTCTTCATTCGGAAAGTTTATTGTTTTCTTGTTAGGTCTATTTTCAGGCAAGAATTCAAATAATGATTTTGATCGGTTCTTTCAGTTAGAGAAAATCATTTGCTCTCTAATTCTTGACTTATTTCGTCATTTATTCTATTATGAAATAGTATGAGTATTTTTTTGATCAATTATATTTTTCTAATAACGTAACAATGAAAAGATTAAATTTATTGAAAAATTTTATATTGTTTGATTCACCGGACTTCGTTTATCTGCTAATTCAATAGCATCTATCATCATATTCCAAAAATGTTCAACATTATGAATTTTTGTTATGACAACACAATTTTTCTCTCGTCGGTGCATATCGAATATATCACAAATAGTTCTTCCTTGACAATGTTCACTTGTTCGTTCAATATCTACGCGCATCAATTGTTCCTCAAATAAATCTTTATTAGCTACATAAGCAACTGCACATGGATCATGTAATGGTGGTGCATCAAATTGAAAGACTTGTTTATAAGTTGCAGCAAAAAAATGAAGTAAATGATCAAGAATTGATATAAATCGAGATGATGATAATGAACGAAGACGTTCACTAACTTGTTGAGTAGCACAAACTGTATGTGTTAATTCTAATGGAACCATAACAAGACGTGGTACATGAGGAGATGTAAAAACAATATGAGCTGCATCAGGATCATTCATTATATTAAATTCAGAACCAGGTTGCATATTTCCAATACCAATACAACCACCCATAAGAACTATTTCTGCTAAGGATTGTTTAATCTAAAGTAAGAATGAAATGAAATGAAATTGAACCGATTATCAACTAAAATACTTGTGGAAATATTTTTAGTAATAATGCAATATTAGTTAATTGTCCAGTAGCAATTAATGTTACAGGTCTACCAACATCTATAATTCGTTTATAAATATTCCATAGATAATTTTCATCGTGTTCTTTCATTAACATTTTATATTCCGGATGGTCAGGAATATCAGTACCATCTAATCCCGTTTGTCCATGAATTTCTGGACATGTTTGAACATGTCGACATAGAGATTCACTACAACCACGTATAATAGGAATATGATTTGGAAGACCAGCTATATAAGCTACTTTGTATGCATTTTGTGTTGTTCGATCGAGTGTTTGATTTCCAGTAACAGTAGAAATACCAATTAATTCAAGAGATGGATGATAAGCAGCTAGTATAATAGCAAATGCATCATCATGTCCTGGATCACAATCAAGCCAAACAGGTTTTTTTGTAGTGTCGACCATGATAAAAAACAAAAGAATGAAATAAATTACTCTAAAAATGTATCTAATATATATATATATGTATTGTTCTTATCAGTTTAAATATGGTAACATTTTTACACATAATAATATTGGTATGTTAAGATAATCTGATTGTTATAAAAGTCAAGCAAACAAAAAAGATAGTAATAATCGACTTATAAAGTTTACATTGTTTTTTTTCGATAATCTAATAGAGAGAGAGATGTTGAATATTTAGAAACGTACAAAATGAAAATGAATTCATTGCTTTCATATAAGATTACAAATATATTACACGTTCATAATGGAACGATACAACCACGAATTTTGAGTGTGATGAATAAACCAGTGGCGGACTTAGGGGGGGGGGCGATCGCCCCCTCCCAGGTATCACCGTCTCCCTCCCAAAATCCTAGATCCACCACTGGAATAAACATAGCTCGAAACTATTCAATAAATTTTATTAATAATCTATTAGTATAGTACATTATCGTCCGACTTTGAGTCCTTTGTAATAGTCTTATTTTTACTCTTGCAAAATATTCATCTTTACCACAATACGTACAACCAAGTATTCTAATGAAAAGGATAAATATGGAATTCTTTAAATATAAACAACTTATTTGCTTCATTTTACTCTTTGTGTCAGTTATCTTATTTCTACTAGGAAAAACGTCCTTTCAATTTTTAAATGATTATAATCTTTTCTTTGTTTATTACAGCAATATTTTGCTAGATATTATAAATAACTTGTTCTTAACAAGTACTGAATAATTCGTTTGTCAAAATTATTTGATTTTATTATTGTTGTCTGTTTGCTGCAAAAGTACATTGAAAAAAAACAGAAAGAAAAGAAAACGTTGCCTAGCACTCATCAAATGTTTGTCGTCATTTACTGAGTCCTTTATAACAGAACAGAAAATTTTTATTTTCTTATTAATCTAAATTAGAGACTTTTTTTTTGAATGCCTCGTGCTAATAGTCGACTTCGTACAAATAATTTATCTTATGAAATTAATGCATCAAAAAAAGCTATTTATCGTATACAATCTCAAACAGATCAAGAACGATCTACTTTTATAATAAATACATTTACACAATTCTTTCACGATGGAATAAAAACCAATCCCGATGCATTTCGTTCACGATTTCGTAAGATGGCTGCAACACCATTTAATTTTTATCGTGGTTCAGCAATACTTTTTTATCAAGATTTAAAAATTGATAAAGATCCATACATCGAAAAAAATCATGCTGCTGGACACATATTTATTCATGTACGTATTTGAAAAAAAAAATTTCTAATTAAAAATAAAATTTTTTTTATTTAAGGGTGATTTACATGCACAAAATTTTGGTACTTATTTAGATTCTAATGGTGTTTTAAATTTTGATGTTAATGATTTTGATGAAAGTTACTTAGGTCCATTTACATGGGATGTTAAACGTTTACTTGCTTCATTGAGTATTGTATGTTATTCAAAAGGTTTTTCTGATGATGACATAAAGCAAGTCTTACATGTATGTGTTGAAACATATTTAAAACAAGTGAAAGAATTTTGTCGAAAATCAGATGATCATTTTAGTTTAACATTACAAAATACATCTGGTAAAATAAAACAATTATTAAATGAAACACGAATTAAATCTCATGTTGCATTATTAAATAAATTAACAAATATTGAAAATTATGATAGAAAATTTATTCGATCAAAATATGTTCAAAATGTTGATAAAATTTTATATGAAAAATTAATGCGTGCATTTCAACAATATTTAGATTCTATACCTGAAAATAAAAAATATTCAGATCGAGGTTTTAATGGTGGAGAATTAACATATCATATAAAAGATATTGTTCAATGTTCATCACCTGGAATTGGTTCAGCAGGAAAAATATCCTATTCATTTTTACTTGAAGGATGTAGTGAAACATTAGAAAATGATATTATTCTTTATTTAAAACCAGCACAAAAATCAGCTGTTTCATATGTTGTCACCAATGAACAAACAGAAACATTCTTTCAAAATGATGGTCTAAGAACTGTTTTATGTTCATATGCAATGCAAGCATCAACACCAAGATGGTTAGGACATACAACATTAAATTCAATAGCATGTATGGTTGATGCTGTTACAGCACATTCAGCAGATTTAGATTGGTCAGATATAAATGATTTAAATGATATATTAGAAGTTGTTCAATATTTAGGAAAAGCAACAGGTAACCTATCTTTATTCATCAAATGAAAAAAACTCCTCTTTTTTTTCTTTCAAGCAAAAATTCATTGTATAGCTGATTCAGATTGTGTTAATACTCCAAAGGACATAGAGTGTTTACCATTTTCATTAATTCCGAAGAATATTGAAAAAACAATTTACGATGCTATTGCTGGGCAAGAAAATGAATTTATTCAAGATATGATTGAATTTGGAATGGTAAATATTTTTTCTAAGCAAAGAAATAGATAATAATTATTTATTTTATATAGATCTATGGTGAATTAGTACGACGTGATCATTATCTATTTTTTGAAGCCTTTAGAAATAATCAAATTCCAGGTCTTTAATTATAGGAATTTTTTTTTATGTTGTGATACGAATATTTGGCTATGCTCTAATTACGAACGAAACTTACACGATTTTTCGACATCACCCACACTGTCAATCTCCTGATTGGTTTGATTTTTGTTCGCAATTGGGAACCTAACGAAAGCCTGATACATTTACGTTGTTTTTCTTTTTGTTTAATAAAAATGTGACGTATTTTCATATACGCAATAAATAATCATTACCCTGTTTATCATACATAGAGTCATCCATTTGACGTCAATAACCTGACTCATATAAGTCATTCTGTTGTTTTTCCTTGCATTGAGGATACGTATATAAAAGGTAAGGTAATACTTTGCAAAAAACCATAACAAAGTCAGGTTTTATTACAAACTAGCTTTTCATAGTTTATCGACAATAATATATGGGTCTTGGTACTGTGTTGGATTTTGGATTAATTTTATATGATGCTTATGAAGATGGATTGTTCGATGATTTCTTCGATAGAGTTGGTGCTAACTATCCATCATTTTATAGTTATGATTATTTACCATTTCATGGCCATCGTCATTCAACACAATATTTCCAAACTGGTTATTATTAATTTTTTTATTCGAAAATTTATTTGTGATAATAAGAATTATATTTTAATAAAACGATTTTTTTCTCATATTCATTTTGTAATTTATTAGTCTGATAACGCTACAAAAATATTCCCTAGCTGGCTATTCACTTTAATTAAATCATGGCTATGTGTTCTGCTCTCTTGGTTTTTAGTTTATATATATATTACTGTCTAGTTGAGTCTTTTAGTTAACATCTATGATACAACCGTCATTTCTAATACTTCATCATGAAACTATTCTATTTTCCATTTTCCTTATGAAAAAGAAGAGATAGTATTCTTTTTTTTCTGTTGCTGCTGCTGCTCCTTCTTCTTCTTCTTCTTCTCTTTCTTTATTTCTATTTGGCATCATTCATATTCAGACTCATTTATCTAAGACTATAAACTAGACAAGTCATATAATAACGATGTTTTCATCAAGCGAACCTGTAATTATTACGCCAACAGATCAGGTCAGTGTAACTGTTGTTCGTAAATCCGATGGACATTCAATGACATTTGTATTGGATGAAAAAACACATATTCATGATTTAAAACATGAATTAAAACGACGATTAAAACCACGATATGAACAAGGCTGCCGTCTTATCTTTCGTAATAAAGTACTCAAAGGTAAACATACACTTAAACATTATGGTATAAAGAAAGGCGTTAATGATCAAGCTATTTCGAGTATGTTCATATTATTTATGATCTAATATAAAAGAGAAAATTTTTTGTTTTATATAGTGGATGATACAAAAGAATGGAAATCATCATCATCATCATCGGATTCTGACCAAGATAAATAATGTAGTATTATACATATTATTTGAACTCAATTCTTATATTATACATATGTAGAATGACATTTTTAAGTAGAATAAATTAATAAAAATCCTTCCAAAAAAAAAGACAATACAACTTTAATAATATAAATTTCCTTGTACTTGACATTTTTGTTTTAATAGTTGTCTCTATTCTAATAAAACAAGCAATAATAATTATTTTTACAAAATGTACTCATTAAATATGTGATATTTTCTTTCATATCAGTATGGTGTATTGTAAATGTAATTAATTTTCTTATGCTAGATCTGTTCTCAAATACTTGACAAGACAAGATGAGAAGACATATACAATGAATAAGATGAAGTTTTTTTTTTTGTTTTTTTTTGATAGATCAAATGTCAGAACCAATCAGTTATTTACGTGACCTATCAATAAGATAAAACTTGTACTTGAAAATTGTGTTGCTTGTATCATATGAAAAACTATCTTTCGCTTTCGATCATATCAATCATCAATCACTATGAATATTATCAACAATAATAATACTACTTGTTTCATAAAGTTGTATATATTGATTAGAATAAGTTTTATTGAAATTGATTTTAAATCTCGTTCATATTGTGATAATAAAATAATTCTTCTTATTGTCGATGTGAATAAATCTTCTGATATTAAAAATAGATCTCGAGTTAGTTTGTTTACAATTGCCTGACTCATAAACAACAAGTTAGAAATATGATTAACTGAGATATATAGTTCTCGAAGTATGAAATCTAATCAATATTTTAGTAATCGATAGTATTAGTAATTAACAATAGTTTGATTTTTGTACTTAATCATATAGACATTCAAGGATAAAATCTATAACTGATTAATATAAAGAACAGATGTATCTATTCGTCTGAGATATGTGATCTTAGACAGTAGATATATTAGTATCTGTACAAGTTTATAGAATTTATCTCGGATATATTGGCTAATGGATGATCACTTTATATTTACTTTTCATGACAAGAAGATTAGTGGAATTGAATTTTGTATGTCATATTGAATATATCAATATTCTTTGCCATTAACTGATCAAGCTAATTTATTATAAAAAGAACATGACGTGTAATTTACTAGGTACATTCAACACCCACGCGAGCGGGGGGAGTGTACGCCCCCTCAATAATTGAAAACTTTTGTTTTTTTTTCAACGACGGGAGTTGATTCGGAACAAATTTTGCTCTAAATATCTTTTTACACCCCCCCCCCTTCGCGTGGGCGCTGAGTACATTTTATATAAATTAATAATTTCTAATAGTAACTCATTAAGCTTAATCAAGTTAATTATTAAATTTCTAGTCAATATATTTGCATATCGTGATGTAAAGGAAATTCCCTATATATTTCTTGTACTTTCTCATACTGATAATAAACGACATCTATGAATGCACAATTAGAGTCGCCATTATTTTCTTCTGTTCCGATGATGTCCTTTCAAAAAGATACAAAAATGGAGTAACAGTTCTAGCTCGTCTTTCTATCATATTCTATAACGATCTCATCAAACAGTACAGTCATTTTCTCAATCTAATTTTTTGTCTGATATTATACCATGTCGCTTTTGACTCGGCCAAGTGTTGTTTTTGCTATTGTATTCGGCTGTTTTGCCGTATTAGTACCACGAGTATTTATACCATTATTTCGATCAAAACCATCTACACCAGCAAATCAAGTTGATGATCGTAAATAATCTATTAAATGTTTACAATACACTAAATAATTCATTTCATTATATAGATTTTCGACGACCACCCATGATCATGTCTCGTAATGAAAATAGTGATCCAGTTGAACATGTTCAAGTAAATTTTGTTTTACATAAGAAAATATTTATACATAAATTTATTCTATTATATAGGGTACACCACCACATATGCGTGGTGCACATCCAAGTATGCGAATGCATCATCCAGGCGCTAATAATCGTCCACAGGGATCAACTGAACAGGGTAGTACGAAATCAATTGTTACACTTGCTTTACCAATGTATACTGTTGGTATTGGAATATTTTTCATTTATACATGTTGTAAAGTATGTTAGAAATATTTTTTGAGACTATTTTCTATTCATTATTCATTATAGTATTGGTCAAAGAAAAATCCTGATGAAAATAAATTAAAAACTGCTGATATGCGATGGGATAGTGAGAAAAAAAGATTAGCCTATGATATACTTGATAAAGATAGTGAAGCAGAAGAAGAAGAAGATGGAAAGAAACAAGATTTATATTCAAGTAAATTAAAATTTTATGATTTCAGAAAAAAGAAAGAAAGAAGTTTTTTTGTTATAGGTTTAGATCCAGATTATGTTGAATATTTGAAAACAAAAAAGAGAAAAGCCCTTGAAGCTGAACGAGCAATGACTGAAGAACAAAAGCAAAGTATGTTATTATGATGACATTTATTTTTAAAATAAATATTGTTTTTAGTGCATTATGCATTGGAAGAAATGAAAAAATCCTTATCATTTATTAGTTCAAAATTAGTTACAAAAGAAAGTCGTGGCAATTTAAGTAAGATTGAAATTTCAGACAAAAGAATTGAAAGTATTTAATTATATTATAATAGATGGCAATGAAATTATTCAATTACAAGAACGTTTGATGACAACTGAAGCTCAAATGTGTAAAATTTTAGGTGCACTTGATGCAGCTTCAGATAAAGTTACTGAAATAAATCAAAAGACTAAAAAATCTCCAAAGGTTAAAAATGAAGAGAATATTGATCACGAAGAAAGTTTATCACCATCTGATGAAGAAGAAGATGAAACTGATAATAAATCTGATGAACATAATCATTCATTATCATTAAGTAGCAGTAATTCATCAATTGCAGACGAAGAAGAAGAAGATCAAGCAGCACCCATCGAAAAAGAAAATTATTTAACTCATCGAAAACGTCATTAAATAAATTCTCATTTCTTATGTGTGTGTGTGTGTGTTTTTTTCTTTTAGTAATTTTAAATATTTATCTAATTGTTGTATATTTATGTCTTTTTAAGTCAATACTAGAATCTCTCATATGATATAGAATGATTTTAGATTAAAAAAGCATGGCTGATACATATAAAAATGTTCGTATACCTGGATCAAATGATATCGTATATAAAGATGAATGTATATATTCATTTGATAATCCAGAATCTGAGAATGGTCTTTTTATATGTATGTCAACATTTCGTGGTTTAGGAAAAGATCATGTTGCACGACATTGTAAAGCAAATCCTGGTAAAAATGTATTTTTACATATTTTACGACGACGAAAACCCATACCAATTGATTCAAATATTGAACAACCAAAAGTAACTAAATTGGCAATTGGAATTGAAGGTGGTTTTGATCCAAATGGTACAAAACGATTTACATTTGAAGAAAAATATTCAATTTATATACATCCAAATGTAATTATTGCATATCCAGATGAAAATGACAAATTACCAGAACATGTTCAACAATCAGCTCAAGCTATTATTACAGCTGAATCGGCTTTTCTTAAAGAAGAACGTACATTAATGAATGCAACATGGAATGGAGAAATTCGTCAAAAAACTAAACATGCTCATACATTAGTACAATTAAATAATGGTAAAAAAATTCCACCAAGTGGTTGGAAATGTGAACATTGTGATTTAAAAGATAATTTATGGTTAAATTTAACTGATGGAGAAATTTTATGTGGAAGAAAATTTTATGATGGTAGTGGAGGAAATAATCATGCAATTGATCATTATGATAAAACAAAATATCCATTAGCTGTTAAACTTGGTTAGTATAAAGACGAAAGAAAAACAATTATGAATTATATTTTTTTGTTAAGGAACAATAACTGCCAAAGGTGGTGATGTTTATTCATATGATGAAGATGATATGGTAGAAGATCCCAATCTTGCTGAACATTTATCTCATTGGGGTATAAATATGATGAATATGGAAAAAACTGATCAATCAATGGCTGATTTAGAAATTGAAATTAATCAAAAATATGGTGAAGCATCAATGATTGAAGAAGCGAATTCGAAATTAAAACCTGTTCATGGAGCAGGTAACTTCATTTTCTTTCATTATTCCTTTGTTTTCCTTATATTAATACTTTTAGGATATACTGGAATGAAAAATTTGGGTAATTCATGTTATATAAATTCATCGATGCAAGTTTTATTTACAATAAAAGATTTTCAAGAAAAATATTATAAACATTGTGATTTTTATTTCGATAAAGCAAAAGATCCTATACATGATTTTAATACACAAACAGCTAAATTAGCATTTGGTTTATTATCGGGTCTTTATTCACGAGAACTTCCCGATGGTGGTGATGCATCATTTCGACCACCATCAAATATTCGACCACAAATGTTTCGTACATTAGTTGGCCGTGGTCATCCAGAATTTGGTACAAAACAACAACAAGATGCTGCTGAATTTATTGAATATTTTATGGAACAAGTACATAAACATTGTTTAAGTGATCCAACACCAGATGCTTGTCTTGATCCAAGTACTTGTTTTCAATTTCAGTTAGAAGAACGTATTTATTGTCCAGAAACAAGTCAAGTCCGTTATACAACACGTGAAGATTCAATGTTTCGAATAAGTGTTCCAATAGATGCATCAAAAAATATGCATGAAGTTCTTCAATATAATAAAACAAAAGAAGAACTTGAAAAACAAGGTAAAAAAACGAATGATCTACCAATTGTACGTCCAATTATTCCACTTACACAATCAATTGCACGTTGGGCTGAACCAGAAATTATTAATGATTTTAAAATCAAACGAAATGAACCAAATACAACAATTAGAAAAACACAACGATTTTTAACTTTCCCGGATTATCTTTTTGTTCAGTTAAAAAAATATACATATAATGATGATTGGACACCAAGAAAACTTGATGTATCAATGGAAATACCGGATGAAATTGATCTAAATTCATTACGTGCAAAAGGTTTTCAACATGGTGAAACACCTATGCCAGATGGTAAAAACGAAAAAATCAATTGATTGTTTTTTTATTCTTTAAATTTTGTTTCTTTTTAAGATGATGAACCAATAGCACAAACAACGACGAAATCAAATGAAGAAATTAATGAGGTTTTATTACAACAACTTATGGATATGGGATTTTCAATTGAAGCTTGTAAGAAAGCATTACTAACTACAGGAAACAATAATATTGAAGCTGCTATGAATTGGGTATTTGAACATCAATCAGATCCTGATTTTAATGAACCATATAAAGCATCAAATACTTCATTACCACCAATTGTAAGTTAAAAGATTAAAAATAAATTCTTTCATATTATTTATTTATTTATTATAGATCGATGAAGAAAGTATTGCTTTAGTTATGTCAATGGGTTTTTCTCGTCCACATGCTACTCGTGCATTAACAATGACAAATAATAGTGTTGAAGCAGCAGCGGATTGGGCTTTAAATAATCCAGAAAATGATTCAGCATTACATATATTAGTAGATTCTTTACCGCAATCTTCACCAGCACATCATGTAACGAAAACAACACATTTTCGTGATGGAAATGGAAAATATCGTCTTGTTGCATTTATTTCACATATTGGAAATACCACAGCATGTGGACATTATGTTGCACATATTCTTAAAGATGGTCGATGGGTTATATTTAATGATGAAACTGTCGCAATATCAGAACATCCACCAAAAGATTTAGCTTATCTTTATTTATACAAACGTACGGCATCTTAAAAAAATATTCAGATATCAGACTGTTTTATTCTCGCTCTTTTTTCTTTTCTTTTTTTTTTATAAACCAGTGAATATTCTTTGTATGTTATAGCTCAAAAACAACTATGATATTCTCGAAATGATATATTCCTTTCACTTTTTTTTTTAGATGCATAATAGTTGTAAATTCTTATACTAGAAAAAAGAAAACTAATGTCGGCTAGTAGTGAAATGCAAATTCGTCGTACAGCGACTTCTCCACGTTCAACTGCATCTTCAAAATTAACACCATCATCCTTATCACCAAATAATGATAGCCGACATGTTGAACCTATTTTATACAGTGAAGTAGCTGTTCGTTTCAATGAAAATAGTCTTGAACAATGTCGAACATCTGTTAGTGCTTTATCCGGTTGCGTCGCTGGTATTCTTGGTTTAACATCCTATAAAGGATTTCTTTTTTATGGATTTTCAATGCTTTTTCTTTCTTTTCTTATATATATGTATATTAGAAATGAATATCGAAAATTTTTTACTAGTTTAAATCATGTTTTTATTAATGGATTTTTTAATGGTTTACTTACCTACGTACTCTTTTGGACATTTCTTTATGGAATGGTTCATGTATATTAACAAAAAAATGTAAATATTGTGTAGTTTAAATTGTATGCAATATCACGAAATCTTTGTAAACATTAATTGTTCCTTCTTTTTTTATATTATTGTATTCCTGTTTTATTCAATACGAAAAAAAAAAAGATAAACTTACTAATGATTCATCATTTATAGTTGAAAACAAAAATAAGAAAATAATTCTCTTTGCAATTTAATTTATTAATAAGCAGAAGTATCGAGGGTGAGGGTATTGATGATCTGATTTTTCTTTTGAAAATAGCGAAATGTTTAATTATTATTATTCACGCTGAAAATAATCCAGGACGGTTGTTCCGACCTCCGGATCCGAACGGAAAGCATGCTTTTTCCGATGCCTTCCTGAACGATCTGTTGAACAGTTTCCCGCAATATCCAAAAACAAACCGTCCATATAAAACAAAAAACCCAACACACCACACTGTTTTCGACAACGTATCCAATCGGAAACGATAGGAAACCCCTCACATAATCCACACGAATCCGACCCACCGTTATTTTCCTCCAACTTCCACTGTTTTCCGCGCCAATCCGACAAATTACGGCCAGTTCCTGGAACCAGAACAAAATGAACAAATCCGGTCCAATTCATTCCCTCCATTTTCCATCATAAACCGACGGATCCAACCATATTCCGAAAAATCCCGACAAATACGATCGAACAATCACACGAAAACCATCTCAAAATAGTATTCGATACACTCAAATCTACACCCTAAACAGAACACCGACCTAATCACCACTTAAAACTAGAAACTATACCTCCGAAAGCGGTGGCTGTGTTAACGACCATTTTAAAACCTGCTTTACCTTCATTTTTCAATCGAGATTTTTCAGCTGCTTATAATCCAATTACTAATCTAGAACAACAGTAAAAAACAAAACAAGTTTCAAAATAACGATTTCGCTGAAGGATTTTTGAGCGGATTATAATCCGACTGAGAATTGTGCATGAAGAGAACATCTTCGGATTTAATACGGAAAAGTTTGTAACCTATTCGCGGGAAAAGTTTTCTGGACCCGTTGGGTTCCTTTAGGTTTCCGTGTTTCACTTGTTCATTGTAAAATGTAGGATATTTTTCCGATTATTTCTGATATTTTCCAGCGGTATTCGATGGGAAACTGACGGAAAACTTCCGTGGAATTCCAGTCTGGAATACTGCGTCAGGAAGTCGTCGGAAGGTGTCGGATCCGATCAGTTCCGCGCCGGATTGTCTGACCTGGGTAGCTTTAATTAATTCATAAAAGGGAACAAATCAACAATGGATGAAGTTGTAAAAGAGATGTTCGACGACATTCACTGTCAATTGAAGAATCATGGTTTTACATCGAGAGTACAAGAAACCGATATACTTGAAAAAAAAATTTAGCTTTTTAACGTATCTAGATAAAACTTTTATATTGGCCAAAGATGGATCATCCGCTTACAAATTTCCTTAAAAGTATAAAACGCAATAACAAATATATTGTCTAATTACAGAATGATGAAACAGTCAAGAAGAACATTGATTTCGAAAAAATATATACTCAAATAATTGGAAATTGACTATACAACCTACGAAGACGGAAATGCTTTACTTTAGTCCACACCCAAGAAAGAAATACTGAAAGAAAATAGAAATCCAAATTGAAGATACAACTATCAAACCTGTTGCAGCACCGAGGTATTTAGGAATAATATTCGACCATCAATTAAAATGGCGAAATCACTTACACCATTTAGAAACAAAAGTAGCACTACGAATAAGTCTGCTCAGATTTCTATCAAAATTAAACTCAAACTCAAACAAGCACATAATGATCAATTTATACAAATCCTTAGTGAGATCAATCATAACATACGGATCATGAATTGTTCTACGAGCAGACGAAAAAATAGGGTGTGGGTGTATAGTATGAGCGAAGAATGACTTATACATCCACATTCACACTCACTCTAACACTGCCTGTTTTAAATCTTTGTCATTCCGAAGATTTTGTATGTTTTTGTATGTCGGGAAATCGTAACGAACATCTTCTCAGGGAAATCATAAAAAAAAGTTCGTGTGTTATGTCTCTTTCCTGATTTTTATTTTGACAATGGGAAAATGTTTAATTATTATTATGCACACTGAAAATAATTTCGATTTCTTATGGTATGTATTTAGTATGATTAATAATTCGTTTTTAAGCTATTTATATATAAGTAAAATCTTGGAATATAATCTCAATATCCAATGTCATATATAGGAATATAATTCAATAGCGAATATTTGTCGTCTGTCATAAAGTACTCTTAATATTAATCAAGTAATATGATCATCAAACACTTGTCTTACTCTTTAGTTTTCGCCATATTTATTCGTACTATATAAATATCAATGTTCAGTTCTGAACAACTATCTTACAATTGTAAGAATTTGTCAAATATTAGTCATAACATACTTAAGAATAATTTTCATATTATTTTGTCATTTACTGTTGACGATATTTTCTTTCTTTCTTACAATTTGACATACATCGATGATTCAGATAGATGACTTTACAAAATTTCTACTTTTGCGTAATCTTAAATAGTTTTTTTAGGTTATTACTGAAAATATTACTCAGTTATTGACTTATATTCTAAGTGCCATCAACTATTCAGTTATGATTAATATTCGTCTTTGGCAACAGATGTATTAAAAAAATGCTTTCTTACAGTAAGAGGTTAAAAACATAGTTCTCTATATATAGCTATGTTTAAGATTAGACAGGAAATAATGAAAAATATATGAACGCTATAAAAATAGATTGTCGTCATATATATATGTAATAAAATAAATTTGATCAGATAAAGATAGATTACGAGTCTTAACCAACTTATAGATATAATTCTACGTTCTTTTTTTTCCGCAAGAATAGAATTTAGATAAGAATCTTGTAAGAATAACAAATATAATTTTTTGTTCGATAAAATCAATAATTATTGATAATAATTTGTGAGAAAAACAATCGTGATTGATTATATATTATATATTAACTAATATTGAATTATTTCTTTTTGATATGTTTGATAAAATAAATTTTAGTCGAACTATTATATGAATATATAAGACATGTATGGGTATATTCTATTAAAAATACATCGTTGTCTAGAACATCAATATAATAGCTTTGATTTACCGTTCAACGCATGACTAATGAGTTTTTCTTCCTTGTAATGTGAGTTGACTGATGAGTCATATGCGTAACATCGAGAAATGTTTTCGTCATAATAAGAATACATCAGGAAGAAAACGGAGTTTTTTTTTTTCTTTAAAGAACGTAAAAAAAACGTCAGAAAGAATAATTTTATTTCAAAATGTTATTGTCAAAGAGACGATTTCAATGCGCAAGCAACCAAAGCAAATAATAATGCGGAATTTATTTTATCTGATTCTTTTACTTTAACCCTCATATGAATTTAGTTTTTTTAAAATAATCTGATATAATTGTTGGTAAGTGCAACTAACCTTGAAAACATTTGCCATTAGTTTTTCTTCCATTTAAAAAAAGAACAAGATGAGTCATATATTCATTCTTTATATAAGTTCACAAAGATTAATATAAGACATTTTTAGATGATAGTTACTATTTAAAAAAGATTCAAGATGGCTACTATATCACCAGATGCAACTATTGCGATAATAGTGGTTGCCGTGGTTGTTGTTGTTATTATTGTGATTGTTGTGGTATGATTAATTTTTTTGTTTTAATTCTTTTTTTTTCTTAAACTTTATTTTAAATATTTAGATTTGTTGCTTATGTCGAAAATGTAATCAATGTGCGAGATGGTCACGTGGAAAAGCTATGGCACGTGAAGAAGCACAACAAGAACAACAGAGAGCTGAAATGCAACGTGGACATGATCAAACTCGAATAGAACGTGAAACCGTACGTGATCAAATTCGTGCAAAATATAATTTAAATGGTGGCAAACCAAATGTTGCAGTTCTTTCTTAATTTGTTCATATATATATATATATGTTAACGGTGATGATGAATGTATTGTATTTTCTTTTTTTTT